CCACAACCACCCCCTTCTCCCTCCTCTCCCCCCACAACCACCCCCATCTCCCTCCTCTCCCCACAACCACCCCCTCTCCCCCCACAACCACCCCCATCTCCCTCCTCTCTCCACAACCACCCCCCTCTCCCTCCTCTCCCCACAACCACCCCCTCTCCCCCCACAACCACCCCCATCTCCCTCCTCCCCCCACAACACTCCTCTCCCCACAACCACCTCCATCTCCCTCCTCTCCCCACAACCACCTCCATCTCCCTCCTCTCCCCACAACCACCCCCTCTCCCTCCTCTCCCCACAACCACCCCCTCTCCCTCCTCTCCCCACAACCACCCCCTCTCCCCCCACAACCACCCCCATCTCCCCCCCCCCACACCCACCCCCTCTCCCTCCACAACCACCCCCATCTCCCTCCTCTCCCCACAACCACCCCCTTCTCCCTCCTCTCCCCACAACCACACCCCTCTTCCCCCTCCCCCCCACACCCACCCTCCTCTCCCTCCACAACCACCCCCTTCTCCCTCCTCTCCCCACAAACACCCCCTCTCCCCCCACAACCACCCCCCTCTCCCTCCTCTCCCCACAACCACCCCTATCCTCCCTCTCCCCCACAACCACACCACTCTTCCCCCTCTCCCCCCACACCCTCCCCCCTCTCTCCCACAACCACCCCCTCTCCCCCACAACCACCACCTCTCCCTCCACAACCACCCCCCTCTCCCCCACAACCACCACCTCTCCCTCCACAACCACCCCCCTCTTCCCTCTCTCTACCAACCACCCCTTCTCCCTCCTCTCTCCACAACCACCCCTATCCCCCCTATCCCCCACAACCACCCCCCTCTCCCTCCTCTCCCCACAACCACCCCTATCCCCCCTCTCCCCCACAACCACACCCCTCTTCCCCCTCTCCCTCCCACACCCACCCCCCTCTCCCACACAACCACCCCCTCTCCCCCCACAACCACCCCCATCTCCCTCCTCTCCCCACAACCACCCCCCTCTCCCTCCTCTCCTTACAAGCACCCCCTCCCCCGCTGCCCCTCGCGATGGAAGACACTTTCCACATGCTCTTCTGTTCCTTTCTTTCCTCAGATCCACCTGAGTCTAACAAAGACACAGAACCCTTATTTAGCGCGGATATAGAGCTGTATTGTAGTAGTAAGTAACTGGGAAATTCGACCATCACGTTATCGCAGCCCGATCTTCACTACACATTCTTGATGATTTATACACATACGTACATGCATGTCCTACTGCACATTCACGAGTATTTGCTAAAGGAGTGGAATCCAGTACTATCTAGCAGATGCTTTCCGCTCAACACTTTGCACTGCCTAGTATACTAATCCAATGCCTCTTGCATATGATTTACACATTCTATCAATGCATATTACACACACACACACACAAATGTATATATATATATATATATATATATATATATATATATATATATATATATATATATATATATATATATAATATATATATATATATATATATATATATATATATATATATATATATATATATATATATATGTATACATATACATATATATATACATACATATATATATACACCTATATATACACATATATGCATATATATATATATATAGGCACATATCTATACACACACACACACATATATATATCTATATCTATCTATCTATCTATCTATCTATCTATCTATCTATCTATCTATCTATATATATATATATATATATATATGTATATATGTATATGTGCAACTATGTCTATATGTACGTGTATATCTATCTATCTAGCAATTTAAGTCTATCTGTCTATTTACCAATAAACACATACATGTAAATTGCGTACCTACAACCAGAAAACCTCTCGTAACAAACGGCTGTCATGAGCACAGCATACTTCGCACCAAAACCGAATCTCTCCAAACATCACGATTTCCTTGCCTTGCCGTATCCCTTTTCCTATCCAGTTGCTTCATTGCTTCATTAAGTAAGGTAACCTGGCAACGCTTAATACATGGGACTAAATACGCATTTGTAAGTAAATTAGGACGTTTATTAGATCTTTTGTGATAAGTAAACACAAGGTGCATATTATTGCTGTCGTTGTGTTCTTAATTAATCATTACTTTCTTATTACTGTCGGTAATGTGATCAAATTATAATCGTAAAGATGGTTATTGGTTTCATTATTGTGTGTATCGTCTATTAAGTCATTATCATTATCACTATAATTAGATGCTTATGGTACGTAAATAACGTCTCCGCTCCCTCCCCAGGTGGCCGTCCTGCAGTGCGAATAGTGACTCCCGAAGGCCCGGGCGCCGACGAAAGTATGGTGCCCAGGATCAACTTCGATATCTCCGAGTCCTACTTGTGAAGTGGCGCCATCGGAGACTGATCTGGGACCCACTTCGAGGAGACTTCACGCTTGGCTGTCGTCGCCAGGAGATGTCTCCTCGTGAGGCTGTGGTGTCCGAGTGTTCGCGAAGCCGTTGTGACGCA